TCCCAACAAATCCCACCATTTCCAAAACATCTTCTAATTGTCTCCAACTTCTTTCTTGCCCAAACTAAGCCAATTAGTCTTCAACAAATCTTCCAATATAATAATCCAAGTATTCCGAAAATGCCCTTGAAGAAAAACCCATCCTCTAGCAAATAAGTAGCTCATAAACGCAATTATACCACAATCCTCTAGCAAATAAGTAGCAAATAAGTAGCTCAAGACTAAAAAATTCCAAATCGCCAACTTTCTTCTTTGGGATCAATCCAAAGATATGAGACCCGTCAATTCCTTTTTTAATGGGAATATTCCAAAAATACCCCTGAAGGTTAATCCTTAAAAAATTAAGAATAAAACCTCCTAATTCCACTTCAAAGGTAAAAAAACCAATGATAACCGGGATGGACCGGTTTGCATTAAAGTTTTGGTAATACCAAAAAGAATGTAAGGTCCAAAAGTGGTTGTTTTTGTGTAAACAAGGGAAACAACCAACCCAATTATGGTACAGTCTAAGGTTAACGTACCCAATCTAGTGTATTGACGGGTAAATATCCCACCACTTGCTAATCGAACTAGCAGTGGCACCCACTAAAGTGGAGATTCCTAGTTGCCTAGGAAGAAAATTCCGACTAACGGGGATCAAACCCGTTTTCTTTAAAAAATTGACCACTTCAAAGGAAAAAAAATCCAATGAAATCTGGGATAGACCAGAAAGCAAATAACAAAAAAGGATCCATAAGGCTCCAAAAGTGGTTGTTTTTATGAATACAAAGGAAACAACCAACCTGTGAGTGGTACAGTCTAAGGTTAACGTACCCAATCCCGTGTATTGCCGGGTGAATATCCCACCACTTGCTAATCGAACTAGCAGTGACATCCACATAAGTGGAGATTCCTAGTTGCCTAGGAATAAAGCACCAACTAATGGGAATCAAACCCAATTGCAATAAGAAAAAATCCACTTCAAAGGAAAAGACTCCAGTGAAATCCGGGATAAAGCGGATAGCAGTAACCATACAGTTATACCATAAAGCCATAAAGTGGTTGTTTTTATAATTACAAGGGAAACAACCAACCCATTTGTGGTACAGTTTAAGGATAACGTACCCAATCCCTGGTATTGACGGGTAATTATCCCACCACTTGCTAATCGAACTAGCAGTGGCACCCACCAAGGTGGAGTCTCCAAGTTGCCAAGGAGGAAAACAACCAATAATGGGGATGAAACCCATTTGCAAGATGAAAACCACTTCTAAAGGAATAATCCTCAAGAAAATCGGAATAAAACCGATAAGCAAAACAATTTTTAAAGGAAAATTGTTAAACCCAAAACCGTCAATTCCTTCAATCATCAAAATAATCCTGATTTTTCTCTCTCACAGGAACACCCCACTTCTTCTTGACAACATTATCAAAACCCAAGAAATCACCTTTGAGACCAATAAGCTTTAAGAGAATTTCTTCAAAAATTTCTGAAATAACTTTCAGCTCTTCCGATTTTCCTTTCCTAAAAAACCTTCGATTTCTTTCTCTCCAAATATAATACATTGAAGCAGCAAAAGCAATCTTCATGATAAAAACAAAGATGCTTTTTCCTTTAAACTTATCTTGAAACTCTTCAATTAAATCTTTCCAGCCATGCGAGTCACTAATAATTCCCGCTTTGTCTTTCACAGCTTTCCAGACACAGTTAGAAATGGAACATTCAAAGAACAGGTGAGAATGCGAATCAGGCTGTCTATTACAAAGGACACAATAAAGATTTTTATTTTTGTCCCAAAATCTCATTCTGTCCTGCGTCATAAGCCTTTCCTGAACAGCAAGCCAAAGAATAAAGCTATGTCTTGGAATTCGATGCTTGAACCAAACCAAATGGACCCATGAAACTTCAGTACCAAAATTCGAAAGATCATCACAAACTTTTTTTATGCTAAAATCAATTATTCTCCCAGAATTACTCCTCCACATAACTTTATCAGGAATTGAAGGGTTAAGAAAAGGAAGTTGGAAATTCCTCAATTGGGGAATAAGATCACACCATTCATCCGACCAGAACCAAGATTCATCAACTATGACATCTCTAACCTTGTCTGAGATACTAAACCCAGCTTGCGAAATTTCCCTAGGAGATATAACATAAGATATAGGTCCCAGAGGATGCCAATCATCAAACCAAATAAACGTGGAAGCACCATCTCCTATCTTATTACAGAAATGATTTCGAACAGCATCCTTTAGCTTAATAAGATTCCGCCAGCTCCAACTCAACCCATTCTTTTTCTCTATATCCCAAAAACTTCTACCTTTTAATAGATTAATCTTGACCCACTTAACCCATAAAGAATCAAAATCAGAGAGAATCATCCAAATTCGTTTTGAGAGAATAGCTTTATTCCACATTCTCAAACTTCTAAGACCCAAACCTCCATTCACCACCGGCTTACATATGGAAGACCATGCCACTTTCGCTCTTCCTCTTTTCGATTCATCATGATTCCATAAAAAATTCTTTATCAACTTTTCAATGTCCTTTATGATGCTGATGGGAATAAGCATGCTGGAAGCCCAGAACACAGGTAACGAAAAGAGGACCGAAGAAATAGGCTGTAACCTGCCCGCATAAGATAAAAACTTATTCCTCCAATCACCAATTCTTTTCCTAACTTTATCAACCAACCTGTTGCAGTCCCTAATAAAAAGTCTGGTGGAAATCAACGGAAGACCCAAATAACGCATGGGTAATTTGCCTTCCACAAAAGATAGAGAATCAAGAATCTTCTTTTTAGCATTGGGCTTGACATTTCCAAAAAAAAATATGGCTTTTAGCAAGATTAGGTATAAGCCCAGCCACCCCAGCAAATTCATCAAGCGCCTCTTTAATCACCCTGACCAAAGCAACGTTGCCATGACAAAAAATCATTAGGTCATCCGCAAAACAAAGATGGGTGATCTTTTGCTTCTTACAACTCCAATGATACTTGAATAATTTCTCTTTAAGGATCTTCCTTTGAAGAATCAAACTGAATGTTTCCATAACAAGCGTGAAAAGATAAGGAGACAACGGACATCCTTGCCTAAGACCACGCTTACCTTCAAAATACCCATGAAAAGAGCCATTTATACTTAGCATGAACGAAGGAGTAGTCACACAGCTCATTATCCATTTGATCATGACAGGATGAAAACCAAAAAAGAAAAGGATGTCTTGAAGAAAAGACCAATTAACCGTATCATATGCTTTCTGAATATCCACTTTCATAGCACAACGAGAAAACCCACGATCACGATGATACCCACGGACTAATTCTTGAGACAACAGAATAGTATCAGTGATTGATCTGCCAGGAATGAAAGCCGATTGATTATTTGAAACAATGAAGCTCAAATAATTTCTTATACGTCCAACAATGATCTTGCTAATACATTTGTATATAACAGAGCAACAAGATATCGGCCTATAATCACTAACTTTCCCAGGGGTATCAATCTTCGGAACTAAAGCTATCACGGTAGCATTGACTTCTTTAAGCAATTTCCCCATGCAGAAAAATTCCTTAACAGCTTGACAAAAATCGTTGCCAACTATATCCCACATAGCTTTGAAAAATTTAGCAGAAAAACCATCAGGTCCCAGAGCCTTGTCATCATCAATATCAAACAGAGCACTCTTTATTTCCTCATCAGTCACCACCTTAAACATCTCAGTAGCATGCACAAGATCAAGCTTCTTTAAAAATAACGACTGAGGATTGTCAATTTCAGTGCAAGGAACCTCAGTCCCCAAAAACTCACTGAAATAATTAGTAAAAACATTAGGAACATCTTCACCTTCAACCCAATTCCCCTCTTCATTCAAAACAGCTCTAATGCTATTCTTATTAATTTTACCTTTAACAATTTTGTGAAAAAATTTAGAATTGCTATCACCCTCCTTTAACCAGCCAACTTTCGCTTTTTGCTTTAAAAAACATTCTTCATCAGCGTAAGCTTTGTTGAATTCCCCCAGAAAAATAGCCTCTAACTCCCTTAGCTCGAGATTAAAAGGATCTTTATCAAGATCAACTTGCACAACATTAAGTTCTTTACGGCAGTGTTCAACTTTTTCAGACAAATGGCCTTGATTTCTGAATAATTTCCGAATTGGTTTTTTAAGAACTTTGAGTTTTTGAACCAAACAGAACATCTTAACACCTTTAACTTGATACTTCCAATGTTCTTCAACCACAGACTTTAAATCCATACAATTCACAAGGACATTAGGAAACTTAAAAGGCAGGACTTTAAATTTCATTTTCACCAGAATTTTAATGATAATAGGGCTGTGATCAGAAATGCCGTAAGGAAGAAAAGAGGCATAAATAGAAGGGAAATCCTCAATCAGCTTACTATTACCCATCACGCGGTCTAATTTCTTTAGAATACCATTACTTCCCCGAGGTTTTTGATTCCATGTGAAATTCAATCCATTGCGATTAATATCTTGAAGGTCAAGACTATTAATACATTCAAGAAAATCTGCCATGCCTTTTGATAATCTAGAGGAGCCTGCCGAACTTTCATTAAGATTAAGAATTACATTAAAATCCCCTCCAATAATCCAAGGATCATCTCTAACAAAACTCTTATGATGCAACAAAGAATCCCACAAAACTCTTCTTTCAATATACTTGTTAGCCGCGTAAACAAAAGAACAGAAAACATAATTATTATTAGGATAAAAATTAATCTTACAATGTAACACTTGATCATTTTGATCAATCAAGTTTACATCAAAAAGATTAGAATTCCATCCAATAATAATTCGAGTGGTATTTCTAGAATTACCCTTATTAGCAATCCACTTCCATGATCCAAATATTTTATCACACTTCTCATGAAGCTTACTAAAACTGACTTGAGGTTCAAGAACAGCAAGTAAACTCAACTTATTCATATTAATTAAATTTCTTAATTCTTTTTGCTTAGGAGATTGATTAAACCCCCTAATATTCCAAATTCCAAAGTTAAACATCATTGGAACCAGCTTCCATTTTGGTATCATACAAAGGGATACCACCAATTACTTCCATTTGATCAACCGTGTCCAAATAATCAAGATCGATATCAGCAACACCCCTTTTCGAACTCCCGTATTGATTCTCCTCTTTCAAATTCATTAAGACATCGAATTTATTTTTAGAAACAAACTCCACAGAACCGGTATCAATAACATTCTGATTGTTCAAATCAAAATTTGAACTAATCTTTATGTCGGGACTAGATCTTGGAACATACTTTTGCCCATTATCTTCTTTTTTCCCCAGCTCCTCTTTATGATTAAACTTTTGATAACTTTTTTCCACTGAAACAGCTCCTACAACATTTCCTTTTTTCACAGAATAATTACTTTTGCTGCTTTGCCCCTGCTCTAATTTTCCACCAGAAGAATTCCCATTATTGCTATAATTTTTCCCATTATACCCCTGAACTGCTTTTCCTTTAATCCATTGATTCCCCCCATTATTATTCCCCTGTTTCAACCCATAATTCCCTTTCTGCCCCTGACTTCCAACATTAATACCAGCCCCATTTTTTCCATTTCTCTGATAATTCCCATTTTGCCCCTGAACCGGCATTTGGTTCTTTTTTTCCATTTCCTCCTTACCTTGTCCTCCCACATTATTCCCCTTATTTCTTTTACTAACAAGTTGAAACCCTTCACTGTCTTCTTCCACTTTTTTCGTGCTAGCAATGAGAACCTCCATTAAATCTAGTTTCTTTCCATCCTTATTTTCCTCATTCCCAGTCGCAATATTGCTTTCCTTTGCTTCCTTAGCTAATAATATTCCACATTTAGAATCCGTATGTCCATAGACTTTACAATGAGAACACTTAGAAGGATTCCAAGCATATTCTATCTTACATTTGGAGAGAATTCTTTCACCTGTGGTTAAGTCCAAAGAGTAAATGAGCACCTCTTTAAGCCAATCTTTAGCTGCAGACATTTCAATTAAAATTCTCATAAAAGCCGGTCTTCCCCAATGTTCTTGACACATTTTGGCAGTATGAGCATCAACATCTAGAGGCTTTCCAATCTCCCAAGCTATATGGCTCAATCCTGTCCCATTCCAATACTCCAAGGGTACATTATATATCTTAACCCAAACAGGAATTTTATCATGCTGATCTTTAACTGAGCTAACACATGTGGTCCATCTTCGGATAATGAGAGCACTATCATAGATCATCCACACTCCCCCTTCCAGCACCGAAAGAAGACCTTGTTCTGAGCTGAATCTGAAAAAATAAATCCCTTCGTCATTTACCATAACCTCTTCCAAGCCATATTTCTTCCACATATTGTGAGCAAACTTGTTAACATTGAAAAAGTTAACATGTTTGTCAATAAAATAACCATACAACGTTGTCTTGAAAGGGCTGCAGCCTTTAAGAATGTCACTAATAGGCATTTCCACAACTCCTTTAGGAAGATCAACATTCTTTTTAACTTTAGAGATAAGATTTGCTGCATTCATTTTCTTTCCACTCATTTTTTTAGCATACGAAACTTTTCCATCATTTTTTTCTTCCACAGAATTTTGCACAGGGATAAACTTCTCCTCCTTACCCTTGACATTACTAGCCTTCATTTCTTCCAGCATATCCTCGGTTATAAGAAGCCCTCCATTTGTATTATAACCAGTTGTTCTAATCTCTTCCTTATCATCTATATTCATTTGTCCCTCATACTCCTCTTCATCAGCATCAACATACTTGAATTTAAATTCACCATCATTAGCAAGCTCTAAGTGATTAAACTTGCTAGGAAAGTGAAAGATAATCTCATTACAAACTTGTTCAAGTTGTTGATTAACTATCTCATCAATTTCAATCTTCTTCTTTACCTTCTTCTCCTTGTCCTGTGATCGCATAGAACAAATTTCTTGAAGATCCACAATCACAGGGGTATTATTATTCGAGATTGGGACACCTTCAGGAATGAGGTTTAACACAGTTTCTCCCACTTTCTGCAATCCATCCGAAGCTTCAAAATCGGATGTCTTCTTCATATCAATTACCACAGGAAACAAAGAAGCAGAAGATTTAAAGGGCACACGGTTCTTCCCAAAATTAGCTTCCACCTGTTTTTTTATTTTGCTAGTACACAATTTATGAACCACCTTCTCCTTCTTCTTTTGATTGAGATCTTTCCAGTTCATCAGAATATCATTCCTTTGACTAACAGAGGAGAGTTTCTCGACATTATCAATAGAACCATCATAAGAAGAATCAAACTCACCTTCCTTGTTGTATTTTTTCTTGATAAACCTTAAGCCATGGACGAATCCTTCCTTTTCGCTCATAGTTAATCCATTCCAAAATAACATCATCGCTTCCTTCTCTCCTGGGCTACAAAATTGCGTGATATCCTTTTCAAATTCAAGAACAGGGGAACTCAAATCTTCAATTGAGATCTCTTCCTTCTTAATCGTGATGTAATTAACCAATGGAGCCATTAGCGGGGCCATAACATCGACTTCAGAACCATTTGAAGACCTCGCAATCTCACTCCCACCATTTTCGATTTTGTCGGCCTTAACTTCATCCTTAGACTCAGAAGAATTGACATCAGGATCAAATTGTTTAACAAGTAACGAGACCGATTTAGGTTGATCAGGACTTGCAATTTTCTCTTGAATGATTTTAGAAGCGTTCAATTAAACATTAAATTGATTGGAATCAACATCCAGAACGGGCTTGAGCTTATTCTTTGACTTCGTATTTTTTCCTTTTTTTTCATTATTACGTCGGGTTCCAAATCAGGTGGAACACCCTCCATAAATCAATCAAACTATATCCACAGATCAAGCAGGAGAAAACAAACAAATTGAGATCAAAATCAGTGAAAACTGACGCCGGAGGAATGATCGGTGCCGGAAAAACGGTTGAAAAACGAGGGAATCGCCAGAGAAGAGAGAGAAACGGGTTTAGGGTTTAGGATTTTAGGGTTTAGGGGTTTTTTTTTTGGATAAAAGGGGAAACCCCTTGGCAAATTTTATTGAAAAGAAAAAACATTACAAAGGGAAGAGGGCAACCGCCCAAAAAAAAAAGAAAACAAAAAAAACTACAAAACCCTAACAAACTAAACAAACCTAAACACTAAATTAAGAAAACAACAAAAACCTAACTAACAAAAAGCCAACCAATCCACTTCCATGTCCAACTCCAAAGCAAGGAGTGAAACCAAACATAACTTCCAAAGAAATGAACAATGAAATCAAAACCAAAAAACTTCCATCTCACAAAATCTTCAAAATCTTCAATCTTCATGTAGCTTTTAATCCTCCACCAAGTCAAACCCCAAAAAATGGCCTCATACTCAAACAAATAATCCAAGGTTTGAATAATGCTAATCTTCCAATACATCCAAGGAGCTTCCAAATCAAGAGAATCATTGGCCAATTCAATCAAATCATCAATAGCTTTCAAAGTTCTCCAAACCAAACTAAAACCCAAAATAGCAATCAACTTTGAACTTTGAGCTTTATTCTTCATGCAATTCTTCCCAATCTTCTCCAAAATGCAATTATTGAACTTCTTCCCAATCTTCACTTTAAAATCCGATAAGCTCCAATAGATAAGCCCATTATCCATCACAAAATTCTTGAGACGATTCCTAAAAAAATCTTTTAAGTCTTCCAAAAAATTTCCAATTTCCTCTTTAGCTGAAAAACGAGTCTTCAAAATCTAAGAAAGTATGATGCTAAAACCGATATATCCCACCAAATCCCACCATTTCCAAAACATCTTCAAATTTTCTCCAACTTCTTCCTTGCCCAAACTAAACCAATTAGTCTTCAACAAATCTTTCAAAATAATAATCCAAGTATTCCGAAAATGCCCTTGAAGATAAACCCATCCTCTAACAAATAAGGAGCTCATAAAAGCAATTATACCACAATCCTCGAGACTAAAAAATTCCAAATCACCAACTTTCTTCTTAGGGATCAATCCAAAGGTATGAAACCCGTCAATTCCTTTTTTAATGGGAATATTCCAAAAATACCCCTGAAGGTTAATCCTTAAAAAATTAAGAATAGAACCTCCAAACTCCACATCAAAGTTAAAAAAACCAATGATCACTGGGATGGACCGGTTTGCATTAAAATTTTGGTAAAACCAAAGAGAATGTAAGGTCCAAAAGTGGTTGTTTTTATGTAAACAAGGGAAACAACCAACCCAATTGTGGTACAGTATAAGGTTAACGTACCCAATCCAGTGTATTGACGGGTAAATATCCCGCCACTTGCTAATCGAACTAGCAGTGGCACCCACTAAAGTGGAGATTCCTAGTTGCCTAGGAAGAAAATTCCAACTAACGGGGATCAAACCCGTTTGTTTTAAAGAATTGACCACTTCAAAGGAAAAAATTCCAATGAAATCTGGGATAAACCAGAAAGCAATTAACAAAAAAGGATCCATAAGGCTCCAAAAGTGGTTGTTTTTATGGATACAAAGGAAACAACCAACCTGTGAGTGGTACAGTCTAAGGTTAACGTACCCAATCCCGTGTATTGCCGGGTGAATATCCCACCACTTGCTAATCGAACTAGCAGTGGCACCCACATACGTGGAGATTCCTAGTTGCCTAGGAAGAAAGCACCAACTAATGGGGATCATACCCAATTGCAATAAGAAAAAATCCACTTCAAAGGAAAAAATTCCAATGAAATCCGGGATAAACCAGATAGCAGTAACCATACAATTATACCATAAAGCCATAAAGTGGTTGTTTTTATAATTACAAGGGAAACAACCAACCCATTTGTGGTACAGTTTAAGGAAAACGTACCCAATCCCTGGTATTGATGGGTAATTATCCCACCACTTGCTAATCGAACTAGCAGTGGCACCCACCAAAGTGGAGACTCCAAGTTGCCAAGGAGGAAAACAACCAATAATGGGGATAAAACCCATTTGCAAGTTGAGAACCACATCTAAAGGAATACTCCTCAAGAAAATCGGGATAAAACCGATAAGCAAAACAATTTTTAAAGGAAAATTGTTAAACCCAAACCCGTCAATTCCTTTAATCATCAAAAAATCATGATTTTTGTCACCAACCGGAACACCCCACTTCCTCTTGACAACATTATCAAAACCCAAAAAAACACCTTTGAGACCAATAAGTTTTAAACGAATTTCTTCAAAGATGTTCAAAGCAATTTTCAACTCCTCAGACTTTCCATTTCTAAAAAGCCTGCAGTTTCTTTCTCTCCAAATGAAATAAACAGAAGCAGCAAAAGCAATCTTCATGATAAAAACTTGGATGCTTTTCCCTTTTAACAAATCTTGAAATTCTTCAATTAATTCTTTCCATCCTTGAGAATTACTAGTAATTCCCACTTTATCTTTCACCATTTTCCAGACAAGAGAAGAATACGAGAATTCAAAGAATAGATGGTTATGCGAGTCAGGCTGCATATTACAAAAAACACACTTGAGATTCTTATTTTTATCCCAAAATCTCATTCTATCCTGAGTCATCAATCTCTCTTGGATAGCAAGCCATAAAATGAAGCTAAGCCTAGGGATACGTTGTTTGAACCAAACAAGATGAGCCCAAGGAACCTTCTGACCACAAAAATTTAGGTCACTCCAAACTTGATGAATATCAAATTCAACCACTTGACCATCCCTTTTCCTCCATAAAACTCTGTCAGCCACCATTGGATCAAGAATCGGCAATTGATAGTCATTCAATTGAGGAATAAGAATGAGCCACTCAGGAGGCCAGAACCAAGAATTGTCCACAATAACATCCTTGACCTTGTCAGAAATTCTGAAACCAGCACTAGCAATCTCTCTAGGAGAGAGGACATGAGAGAAAGCACCCAATTGATGCCAATCATCAGACCACATAAAAGAGTTAGCCCCATTCCCGATCTTGGTAAAAAAATGATTTCTAAATTTGGGTCTCAATCTAATCAAGCTCCTCCAACTCCAGCTAAGATCCTGTTTTTCCTTATCATCCCAAAAGCTTCTACCTTTAAGAACATGAATGTTTATCCATTTAACCCACAAGGAATGGATAAAATCTCTCCTGGATAGCAAGCCATAAAATAGCTTTATTCCAAACTCTAAGATTTCTGAGACCCAAACCCCCATACTCAACAGGTTTACAAATAGAAGACCAGGATATTTTGGCTCTTCCCTTCTTAGATTCATCATAGTCCCACAAAAAATTCTTCATCAGTTTCTCAATTTCCTTAGTGATAGAGGCTGGAATAAGGAGACAAGAAGCCCAATAAACAGGAAGGGAATACAAAACCGAAGAGATGAGCTGAAGTCTCCCCGCATAAGAAAGATATTTGTTTCTCCAATCACCAATTCTGCATCGGACTTTATCAACAAGTCTTTTGCAATCACGGATAAACAATCTCGTAGAAATGAGGGGAATACCCAAATATCTCATTGGGAGCTTCCCTTCAACAAAGGGAAGAGTGTTAAGAATTTTCCTCTTCACATTAGCCTTGACATTCCCAAAAAAAAATATGGCTTTTAGAGAAATTTGGGTGAAGACCAGCCACCTTAGCGAATTCATCAAGGCTGTCTTTAATCACTCTGACAGAGGCTTTATTTCCATGACAGAAGATCATTAGATCATCCGCAAAACACAGGTGCGTGAGTTTGAGTTTCTTGCATTTCCAATGATACTTGAACAACGGTTCATTCCTTATTCTTCTTTGAAAAATCAAATTAAAACTTTCCATCACCATGGTAAAAAGATAAGGAGATAGTGGGCAACCCTGACGGAGACCTCTTTTTCCGTCAAAATATCCGTGAAAGGATCCATTCATACTAATCATATATGAAGGAGAGCTCACACACTGCATGATCCACTTTATCATCGCCGGATGGAATCCAAAGTGAAAAAGAATATTTTGAAGAAATGACCAATTCACCGTATCATACGCTTTCTGGATATCCACTTTGAGAGCACATCTAGAATAACCACGATCTCTGTGATAACCCCTAACCAATTCTTGGGATAGGAGAATATTGTCAGTGATGGATCTTCCCGGAATAAAAGCAGATTGGTTATCCGCGACAATAGAACATAAATGATTTCTTAATCTTCCAACAATGATCTTACTGATGCATTTGTAAATGACAGAACAACATGAAATAGGTCTAAAGTCACTCACTTTCCCAGGAGAATTAACTTTAGGGACTAAAGCAATGACAGTAGAATTTATTTCCTTGAGAATTTTCCCATTAGCAAAAAATTCCTTGACAGCCAAACAAAAGTCCTCTCCAATAATAGCCCACATGGATTTGAAGAATTTAGCCGAAAACCCATCCGGACCAGGAGCTTTATCATCATCTATGTCAAAGAGAGCAGCTTTAATTTCTTCATTTGAGACAATCTTGACCATCTCAACAGCATCAATGAGGTCCAGCTTTTTAATAAAAAGAGAATCAGGCAGAAAAATCTCATCACAAGTCACCTCTTTTCCAAGAAAATCCTGAAAATAGTCAACAAATTCTTTATAAACAGCTTCACCTTCCAGCCACTCTCCACGACAATTCATTACAGCTTCAATTCTGTTTTTATGCATCTTTCCTTCAACAATTCTATGAAAAAATTTAGAATTGCTGTCACCCTCCTTTAGCCATTGGATTTTAGCTCTTTGTTTTAAGAATTTCTCCTCCTTATCATGTGCTTTTTTAAATTCACCAAGAAAGATGGCCTCCAAATCACGAAGATGAGAATTATAAGGATCCAAATCCAAATCCGCTTGAACCGCTTCCAGCTCCTTACGAAAATGATTTACATTTTCCGAAAAATGCCCCTGCATCTTAAGAGTTTGCGAATTGGCTTTTTGAGAATTTTAAGCTTTTGCGTTAAAATGAACATTTTAACGCCTTGAATATCTATATTCCAGTGCCTTTCAACAATCAGCTTCAACTCAGGGCAAAGGGTAAGAACATTGGGAAATTTAAAGGGAAGCACCTTAAATTTAGTTCTTAAAGGAATTTTAATAATGACCGGACTATGATCGGAAATCCCATAAGGAAGAAAAGAAGCACAAATTGAAGGGAACTGATCCAGAAGTTTACAGTTGCCCATGACACGATCAAGTTTCTTCATAATTCCATTGACTCCTTTAGGTTTTTGATTCCAAGTGAAATTCAATCCATTACAATTAATATCTTGAATTTCAAGAGTATTAATGCAGTCATGAAATTCCACCATCCCTTTAGAAAATTTGGAAGATCCAGCAGAACTTTCACAAGGATTAAGAGTGACATTGAAATCACCTCCAATAATCCACGGATCATCATTGACGAAACCTTTATGATGCACAAGGGAACACCACAGAGCTCTTCTATCAATGTACTTATTGGCTGCATAAACAATGGAACAGAAAACATACTTATTGTTTGAGGGAAAACAAACTTTACAGTGAATAACTTGATCATTGTGATCAATCAAGTTAACATCAAAAAGAAGAGAATTCCATCCCAAAATAATGCGATAAGTACGCCCTAAATTCCCCTTAATAGCAGTCCACTTCCAATTCCCAAAAATCTTATCACACTTCTCATTGAGTTTATTAGAGCTAACTTGAGACTCGAGAATAGCTAATAAACTCAAATTATTTTCCTTAATTAAATTTTTTATTTCTTTTTGCTTAGGAGACTGATTAAGACCCCTAACATTCCAAATTCCAAAACTAAGCGACATTGGAAAAGCCTTCCATGTTGGTATCATCCGAAGGGATACCACCTATAACTTCCATTTGATCAACAGTATCCAAGTAATCAAGATCAATTCCTTGAACACTACTTCTGGAAAAATCCATTTGATTATCATCTTCCAAATCCTTTAAAACATCAAATTTATTGCTAGATAAAATAATCGCAGGATCTTGATGTTTCTCAACATTTGGGATTTTATCAAAGTTAGAGCTAATCTTAAAATCATCTCCACACTTTGGAACATACTTCAGCCCACTGCCAATGTTTTTTCTCTTTTCAATATTCGAATTAAGTTCCTTATGAGAGGAGAACACATGAGAAATCCCCTGAAAATTATTTCCACCTGTACCGATCCCAGCATTGTTGATTTTGCTCGAAAAATTAGTACTTTTACTATTCTGCCCCTGTTCAAAATTGAAACCATTAGTTCTTCCATTCGCACCTTGATTTTTCCCATTTTGCCCCTGGACTCCTTTACCCTTATTCCATTGATTGCCACCAATTATTTCCATTTTTTACTGAACTATTCCCTTTTTCCCCCTGACTTCCAACAGAATTTCCATTTTTTACTGAACTATTCCCTTTTTACCCCTGACTTCCAACAGAATTTCCAGCCATATTCTTTCCATTTCCTTGGTTTTTCCCATTTTGCCCTTGAAAAAAATTCTGATTTTTGTTCCCTAATCCTTCCTTATTCTTTTCACCCATATTTATTCCCTTATTCCTTTTAACCACAGTTTGAAACCCATCCTTGTCTTCTTCAACTTTTTTAGTACTCGCAATAAGAACCTCCATCAGGTCGACTTTAATACCATCCTTTTTTTGATCATCAGATTTAGGATTCACTAAATCACTGGCCTCCTTAGCAAGAAGAATTCCACAATTACTATCTTTATGCCCATAAACCTTGCAATGAGAACATTTGGAAGGATTCCAAGCATACTCGACTTTACATTTTGACAGAATTCTTTCACCTGTAGTAAGATCCGAAGAATACACATGAACTTCCTTAATCCATTCTTTAGCAACGGACATTTCAATTAAAACTCTCATGAAGGCCGGTCTTCCCCAATGCTCTTGACACATTTTTGCTGTATGGGCATCAACATCCAGTGGTTTTCCAATCTCCCAAGCAATGTGACTCATCCCTGTTCCATTCCAATATTCAAGAGGAACATTATAAATCTTTACCCAAACAGGAACTTTGTCATGTTGATCTTTAGCCGAACTCACACCAGTAGTCCATCTTCTAACAACAAGAGCGCTGTCAAAAATCATCCATACTCCACCCTCCAACATAGAAATCATTCCTTGTTCAGTACTAAATCTGAAAAAATAAATCCCTTCATCATTTACCATCACCTCTTCTAATCCATATTTTTTCCACATATTATGAGCAAACTTGTTAACATTAAAGAAATTAACATGTTTGTCAATGAAATATCCATAAAGAGTGGTCTTAAAAGGGCTGCATCCTTTAAGAATATCACATATTGGCATTTCCACCACTCCATCCGGAAGATCCACATTCTTCTTAACCTTAGTGATAAGATTAGCAGCATTGAGCTTCTTTCCACTTACTTTCTCAGCATACGAAACAGGTTCATTTGCATTCGATTCCTCCAAAGGAGTTATAGGAATAGTCAAATTCACCTTGTTCTTCAATTCCCCATTCTTCATTTGTTCCAGCATATTTTCAGTGATAAGAAGCCCACCATTACTATTCCGGATGATTCCTTTATTTTCCTCATCTTCATCAACCGCCATTTGGACATTAATACCCTTATCATCCGGATCAACATAATTGAAATTAAACTCACCTTTTTTAACAGTATCAATATGATTGAACTTCCTGGGAAAGTGATAAATAATCTCATTGCACACTTGTTCCAGCTGTCTACTCACCATATCATCAATTTCAATTTTCCTTTTCTCTTTCTTTTCTTTAACCACAGTTTGCAAAGAGCAGATATTTTGAAGATCAACAATCACTGGCTCATTCAAATTCAAATTAGGAACTCCTTCAAGAAAAAGATTACTCACAGTTTCACCAACTTTTTGAAGACCATCAGAAGCTTCAAAATCAGAGGATTTCTTCATACTAACCGAGGAAGGAAAGAGTGAAGAAGATGGCTTAATTGGAATACGATTCTTCCTAAAATTAGCTTCAACCTGCTTTTTAACTTTACTAGTACAGAGTTTTTGAATAATTTTCTCTTTTTTCTTATCGGTAAGATCTTTCCAATTCAACAGCACCTCATTCCTTTGACTAACCATGGAGATCTTCTTTACATCGTCAATTGAATCCACCATGTCATCATCAGCTTCAATACCACTGTTATATTTCTTCTTCGTAAACCTCAATCCATGAACAAATCCTTCTTTTTCACTTACAGATAATCCATTCCAAAAAACCATCATAGCATTTTTCTCTCTAGGGCCACAAAATTGAGCAATATCCTTCTCAAATTCGATAACTGGTTGACTTAAACCATCAATTGAATCCTCCTCTTCTTTAATAGAATTAACAGAGCCATGAAGAATTATAGAAGGGGAGGTGCACTCGGTATTAAACGAACAGGGACTAACATAATTTTTCAAATTAGCAACATCAGGAGCAATTAGCGTATTCAGATTCGAACAATTAGGAAGAATAGCTTCATTTTTCACAACAGGAGAAGAATCTAAAACCATGCTAACCAATTTAGAATTTTCGGAATTACCAGCTTCAGACGGGATTTTAGAAGTGATCGGATTAGCTTCAGATTCAAACTTATTGACAAGTGAGGTGACCGATTTAGCTTTCAATGGATCATTCAATTGATTGGAATCAGCATCCAGAACGAATTTGAGCTTATTCTTCGACTTCGCATTTTTTCCTTTTTTTTTCATTATTACGTCGGGTTCCAAATCAGGTGGAACACCCTCCATAAAATCGATCAAACAATATCCACGAATCAAGCAGGAGAAGACAAACAAATTAAGATCAAAATCAGTGAAAACTATTGCCGGAGTAATGATCGGTGCCGGAAAAACAGTTGAAAAAACGAGGGAATCGCCAAATCGCCAGAGAAGAGAGAGAAACAAAGAGAGAGAAAGTTTGGGTTTGGGTTTAGGGTTTAGGGTTTTTTTTTGGGAAAGAGGCCGAAGCCCCGGCAAAGATTTTATAAATTCAAAAAAAGAAAAACAAGAGTTATGTCATTTTTTGGACAAACCCCAAAAATGACCAAAATCCAAATGTCACGTAAATACCAAAAACCAAATGCTAACCCTAGCAACAATATATGCAAAGAAAGTACAATTTATTCTAGTCCAACTCCACAATCCGGAGTGGTCATCAAATTTCCTCTCGCACACGAATTGACCACGCCATCTCTTCTTCCAATCTTCAAAAATGCCATCTCTATACATGCTCTTCCCCTTGCCAATGAAATCCACAATAGCAATCTTCTTTCTTCTTTCCACCCTTGTATCTTTGTTATCTTTTATGTACCTCAAAAGTATATTGCTATAAAAAGCCAAACTATCATCCTCTCTATTATCTCTATTCACAATCTTCCAATTCTTGCAATCTTCAACCGACCTTCTTTGGTTATATTGCTTATCCAAAATTCCGTTCCAAATGTCATCAACATTCATCGTCCACAAGCTTTTGATACAAATCCCATCTCTAGATTTTTTATGGATAAAATCATAAAACCCACCAATTAAATTACTTGGAATTGAACCAAGATTTTTGAACTTTTTACGGAAAAAGTTGGAAAACCAAACTATAATTTCCGGAATTGAACCGGTTAAATTCATCCTTTTTTGGAAAAAAGGGGCCAACCACATGACTAAACTACTTGGGTTTGAACCAAGATCTAAGTTCTTTATATGGAAAAAGAAGAAAAACCAACCAACTAAATAGTCCGGATTTGAACCGGTAAAAATCATCCATTTTTGGAAAAATGGGGCAAACCACATGACTATACTACTTGGACTTGAACCAAGATTTAGATTCTTTTTATGGGAAAAGAAGGAAAACCAGCCAACTAGAATTTCCGGGTTTGGACCGGACAAAAAGTGACATTTTGTTAACCAAAAAAATGGTAGTACAGTCTAAGGATGACGTACCCAAGCCTGGTTATTGACGGGTGAATATCCCACCACTTACTGATCGAACCAGTAGTGGCACCCACAATTGTGGAGAATCCTAAATGAATAGGATAAAAAACACAACTTATGGGGATAAGACCCATATGCAATTTTATGAATTCCACTTCACAAGAAAAAATTCTTATGAAACTTGGGATCAAACCAAGATGCAATTCATTTTTAAGGGAAAAAATGATAAAACTCCCAAATCTGTCAATTCCTTTTATATACACACCTCGTTTCCAAGGCGGAGGATCATAACAATTGAGAAACCCCATTTGAAAATGATAAAAGTCCACTTCATAAGGCATTAACCAAATGAAACTCGGGATCAAACCGAGATGCAATTCACTTTTAAGGGAAAAAGTGAGAAAAATCCCATGCCCGTCAATTCCTTTAGGATTATAATGATTATATCTATCATCCATATCAATTAAGATCATCCAATCCCAATAATTCCCATTTTGCCCTTCTTTTCCATCACCACCAAAAAAATTCCTTCTTCTCTTGTTTCGTTTGTTAGTTCTACTATCCTCTCTCCCACAATTATCTCTAAAAAGAATAAAAAGCCTGTGCATTTCAGAATTACCGAAATACCCCTCCATCCAAAAACCAAAATCACCATCATTTAGAAAATTCCAAATATGCCCCTGCTTATTATTTTTTCCTTCTCTGTTATAAATATCTCTAATTTGCATGCTCCCCCTCCCTAAACAATTGGAATTATCTCTCATGACAAGAACCATCCCAATCGCTCCTTTACTTGTCCAAATTCCAAACAGCCCCTGTTCAAAAATTAAGTTCCTGCGATTTTTATTTTCCAACTTCATCTCCTTTCTATCCCCCAACTCAGAAAACCAGCCGAAACCTTTAACAAGCAAACCAATCGCTATGTGATCATCCAATTTATTAAAATTCTAGATTTGACCAAAATACCCTTTGATCAGAATACTTAAAATCCCGCTCTTATTAATTTTCTTCCTAATTTTCACCATCGGAATTCCAAACCATTTCTCCTTCCACCGATTCCAACCCAGCCACCCTAACAAATCCTTACACAATCCAATTCTCATATTAATATCAACTTCCATGGAAATAATCATTACTTTGAACAGGAACATTCCACTTCTTACAAATTTCTTCATTAAGCCCAAGATATCCCAATTTAAGGCTAAAAATCTTCAATCTAATGTCTTCTGTGATAGTCTTGACAACATTTTCCACTGAATTACTCTGTTTCCCAAACAATCTTTTATTCCTTTCATTCCAAATGTGATAAACAGAAGCCGCCAAATCTATCTTTTTAATGAAGTCATTGATGTTTTTCTTTTTTAAAGAACATTGGAGTTCAAGGATGATATCAAACCAATTGCCAGATCTATGATTAATTTTCACCTTATCTTTCATCAAGCTCCACACTTCCTTTGAGTATTTACATTCAAAAAACAAATGAGAATGAGAATCCATTTGAGAATTGCAAAAAACACAGCTGAAATCATTAGAACCTTTCCATCTCTTCATTCTATCTTGTGTTCTAAGTCTTCCAAGAATAGCAAGCCAAAGAATGAAACAATGACTTGGAATTCTGTTTTGAAACCAAACCAAGTCATACCATTTAACAATTGACTCATGGCATATAAGAGAAGAAGAGACCTGATTAACCGCAAATGGGACAATTTTACCTTTGTGATTCCTCCAATATACCTCATCCTTTTTCTCTGTAATAAGTCTTGGCACAGGAAAATCACCTAACTGAGGAATCATTTCAAGCCATTCAGCAGGCCAGCTCCAATTTCCATCAACAATAACATCACTAACTTTGTCCCTTATGTTATATCCAGCATTAGTAATTTCCCTATGCGAAAGAACATAACTCAAAGGTCCTAGTTGATGCCAATTATCAAACCACATGTTTGTTCCCTTTCCATTTCCAAGCTGACTAACAAAAAAATCCCGAACATAAGGTCGAATCTTCATTAAGTTTCTCCAGCTCCAGCTCATTTTGTCTTTTAAACCCACATCCCAGAAGCTTCTCCCTTCAAGAAGATAAAATTTAACCCATTTGACCCATAAAGAGTTCTGCCCACTTATGATATTCCAGATTCGACTAGAAAGGAGAGCAATGTTCCAGTCTTTAAGATTTTTTAACCCAAGACCACCATAAACCTTAGGTTTACAAATCTCAATCCAAGATACCTTAGCAACTCCTTTTCCATTTTGACCACTATTCCAAAGGAAATTCCTCATGATTTTTTCAATTTCCTTAGTGATGCCCTTTGGTAATAAAACCACTGAAGCCCAATACACAGGGAGAGAAGTAAGTACAGCACTAATTAATTGGAGTCTACCAGCAAAAGATGGGTTTAGGGTTTAGGGTTTAAGGTTTAGGGTTTTAGGGGTTTAGGGTTTTAGGGGTTAGGGTTTAGGGTTTAGGGTTTAGGGTTTAGGGTTTTAGGGTTTAGGGTTTAGGGTTTAGGGTTTAGGGTTTAGGGCTTAGTGTAACGACCCGTTCCCGGTACGTTAATTCATTGGTAATAGTTGTAAGTTTTCAAGAGGGACTCGGCGAGTTCTAGCCTGACTCGCCGAGTAGGGTCGCGTCTTCGAAGCACGCGTGAGCCGGGGACTCGGCGAGTCCATATCCCTGACTCGGCGAGTCCATCCGTCTGGGTGAAACCCTAAATCCTCGGGTTGCCCACTATTTATACCACCTTATAGCCCCCATCCTCGCCTTCCTCACCCTGAGAACACAGTGAGAGAACCCTAATCCTCCCTTGAAGAGCTTATATGTGTTTTGGTGCCATTTTGTGAAGGTGTGAAGAAGGAAAAGAAGAAAGAAGCAAGGAGAAGTGTGGTAGTGCAAAGATCCAAGGCCAAATCAGAGTTAATTGAGCCGAGCAGATTCAGGAGCAGCAGCCGTTAGCTTCCCGAGCCACACACTCAGCAGCCAGCTTACGAGGTGAGTTTCCTTCCAGTAGGAACGGGTCTAAGGCCACAATGCCGGCCCGTTCAGTTAACAGTAGTTTCCGGATTTAGGTCCGATGCAGTAGCTAGTATGTTCGATGCCTTCGTGGCCCGAACAGGATTTGTGTGCTATGTTTTATGCGTTAAGTATTATGTGTTCCGGGCTACGGCCCGATGTAGTATGCCGTATATGTGTTATGCTAGTTAATGTGTTATACTATGCCCTGTTCAGTCAGTCAGCTCCGGACTTCGGTCCGATGCAGTTAGTTCCGGACATTGGTCCGATGCAGTCGGTTCCGGACTTCGGTCCGATGCAGTATGTTCCGAACATTGGTCCGATGCAGTTAGTTCCGGACTTCGGTCCGATGCAGTTAGTTCCGGACTTCGGTCCGATGCAGGGGACAAGGTCCCAGTTAGTTCCGGACTTCGGTCCGATGCAGTTAGTTCCGGACTTCGATCCGATGCAGGGGACAAGGTCCCGGTCAGTTCCGGATTTCGGTCCGGTGCAGTTTCCGGGCTTCGGCCCGATGCAGTGGGCAAGGCCCAATATGTGTTTATATGTTATTGTATGGTATGTAGTAGTTTGGGGGGAGCTCACTAAGCTTCGTGCTTACAGTTTCAGTTTTGGTTTCAGGTACTTCCGCAAGCAAAGGGAAGAGCTCGGGGTGACGGCATCGCACACACCACAGCTTTAGCTTTTAGCCTGGGATTGATTTAGTTTGTTTGATTTGCCGTACTATGATACAGTTTCCGCACAGTGTTTTCTATTATGTTGGATTACGTCACATATGGTTTTATTATATGACACTTTGATTATGGTTCTGATTATATCG